ATTTAGTCAGTGTGTTTTGTAATTCAGTTTTTGAGCCACTAAAAGCTTGTTCACAATATTTTTTTATTGCCCCATGATGTTATTACAGATTCACATCTCGCTCAACTGTTAGTGTTTCAACATCCAGAAGTGCCCCACCCAGAACACTGTCAGTAAAAGGGCAAATTGAAACTGTGAAAGTTAAAAGGGTATGATAGAGCGTTCTGCATGTATACAGTGACTAGAAACAGATAGTAAAGTGATGCTTTTCCTTGTGAATCATGGAAGTGCACAGGTAAGGCTTCTATGGCTTTTGCAAATCAGGAACCAATAAATGTAAGCGTGTTTGTAGCTAAACTACTATATACTCATTTAGTTTTCAAATAACCTGACCTCTGAATCAAAAGGAAAGCTGCTTAGGTTGTTGTTTTTTAAACCAAAACATTCTGGACTGATTATTGTGTTGCTTTATAGAAATAATGTAGACACAGTAGAGGTAGACTGCCATAACATCCCCCCCCCCCCATTATCTTCTACAGGCACGGAGAACTGAATTGCTAGATGAAGAATGCGTGTAATCTGAAATGAACTTTTGAGGACGATTTTATGTACTGTACATCTGGACAACTTTTAAAAGATATTTTTATCAAGTATTTTGTAAAGGCTAATTTTTGTAGGACTTACAGATGAGTGGAAAAATTATATATGAACATTTCTTCCTTATACACCCATTCTTCTAGGAGCTCCAAATGTTGCCAAACTTTTTTTCTTTTAAAGTATCAGTTTAACACTGGGGAGAGTGTTTGTAAGATTGGACAAGCATTCCATATATTTGCTTTAAAGAAATGTATGTTTCACATGTATGGAATTTTTTCCCCTTTGGGTATGTGGATTTTTCTTGCATTTTTTTCTAGAGCAAAAATCTGTGGTGCTTTTGTACTTAAAAGTCTGTGATTTTAAGGAAATGTGTCTGGATATGGCCACTTGACTATTTTGCATTCCGCTCATTTGTTTAAAATAACAAAAGACTTGCTATCTGTAAATATAATTTTCCAAGATTTTCTCTAAACCTGAGATATGCCTTATGAATACTTAATTCTTGTTTGTAAGCACACTTATCTAAAAGCTATGTTATAGCAATTTCAGGATCATGGTCCAAGTCCACAGATATTAATGGGACTTAACACCACAATCCTAAACCCAACTTGACATTGGGGTCCATTGTTTAGGGCTGTTGTGTGCCTTTAAGTCATTTCCAACTTATGGTGATCCTATCATGAGGTTCCCTTGACAATACTTGTTCAGAGAGGGTTTACCTTTGTCTTTCTCTGAGGCTGAGAGAGAGTGACTTGCCCAAGGCCAACCAGTGGGTTTCCATGGCCAAGCAAGGATTTGAACCTTGGTTTCCCTGTGTCACTTGTCCAATGCTCAGAGTACTGGCTTTCTGATTAGAGATAGAAAACCTATTCCTCCTGTGTAGTTCGTGGGTAAAAGCAACATTACTTTGTTGTGCTTAAGGAGTACTTATGATAAATGCAGAACTACAATAAAGAATTATATTTATGGTACACACATATTTTAAAAGAGCTGCACAATCTGGGACTCACTGAGCCATAAACTGTTCACCTACCAAGTCTTTTGGCTTGTGTTGTAGTTCAGAAATCTGACCCCCCTACCTCTGCTCTTTTAAAGGCAGGCTATTCCTGCAAAACCAGAAAGCTTTTTGAGCCTTCATGGGCAACCCTATATAACTAGGTGTGCCACATAGAGCTTTATGTTTGAGAGAAAAAGACTCAAAAGAGGTAAAGGCAACTGTGGAGAGACTGAGGGCCAGTTTTCTGCCTCAGGACCCTCTTGGGGTCCTGCCCAAAAATAAAACAAAACAAAATTCAAAATGAGCAAAACTCCACTTAGGTTTTGAAAAACAGGTACCTTGGGGATGCAAACATCGCAGAAAGTGGCTGCAGTCATTTAAACAGGTACATTGCTACTCCTAGGTACAACCGGAGAGGCAATTCACCCTCATTTGGGCCCAGAAAAAGGAAGTCTGGAGGATTTTGAAGGCCACCAAACAACTGCCTCTCAAACACAAACCCTGCATGGGGTTCAAGAGTTGTGCTTTGTCCACAGTTTCAACACTATTAATGCTACTTCAACTGAAATGGAATGTAGACTTGTAATGGCACAAATTGAATTAGGAAACTTTATTATTGGTTGTGGAAATGGAAAGGAATAGCATTTACACCTCCTCTTAACCACCTCCTACATCATGAGGGTGTAAAATCTAAGGTTATAAAACTATAATTTCACTTTGCTCCAGTTTTATTCTGCACTTGTCAGTTTCCTCTGCTTTATTAGTGGAATATGGTTGATGCATCAAAATGAAGGTTAAAAACAATGCTTGTGGTACCTGGTACAGACAACATAGGTGAAATGTTATTTTAAAGAGGTATGTGGTTGTAATAATAATAAATTAGTTGAATGGATTTTCTGGTACTATGTTAATATAGGATCAGACCACTATAATGTAATTTCCCCCTCTATATTATTCTCCTTTGCCTGGAACTTGACTGTTTCTATTGTTTGTGGAATGGCAAGGTAAAATATTTCATGTCTTTTAGTAATATTTTTATTGTAATGATGGCCATGATACTCTCTGGGGATATTTGCATGTTTCAGTCAATAAATCAAGTAATTACCATCTACTTCTAGTGTCTTTATTTACTACTGGGCAAAAACTCTACCACCTGGAGCCTGATACTATGAAGAATCTCAACCCATTTCAACAGTTTATCTGTTCAACTTGCATACTACATTCATATTCCAGGAGTAATATATCTTGTTTGTACATATACACATACTAAATAAAACACCATACCTTAAAAAAAACCATTGGACATGTTTATATGCAGATCCATTATGTTTTATTAGTCTTCATCCTATCACAAATTTACTGGCTGGATTTTTGAATGATATCCAGCTGGTCCCTTTCATAACAAGAAATTCTATCTAAGCATACAGAATTGCCCTATGATTTGCTTCCTACAGTGAAGCCCTATTGGCTTCATTATTTAGTGCCTATCACCACAGTTTGACTTTCTAATACACACGTTCTAATGATTTTTTTCTGCAATGTCCCTTTGATGTAGGAAGATATTATCCTCCATCTTACAGATAGGTAATTAAGACACAAGAGATTTATTGCCCAATCCTTAAAGTGGTTCTGCTAACAGAAAACAGAGAGACAATGAAGCTTGCATTGACCAAGGCCATGGAAAAGACTGTTAATGTCTCCGACAAATTAAGAACTGAATAAAGAGCTCCCAAGTTGTAGCACTTAAACCTTTGCGTGCCTCTCTGGTTGCAGGGTGCTCACAAGGCCTAATTTACTTTACATCTACATTTATGATCATAGTATTGTTTGTGAAGCTGCAATTTATGTAGAGAGCATTTCCAAAGGTGTAAAAATGCATTGGTAATTTGCTGGATCAAACTGAAATGTTATTGTATTAACACATCAGTTTGTTTTTGTTCAGCTGACATACTAATGGCATTTTTTGCTCTAAGTAGATAAAAATTGTAGGCAATAATGTAGAATAGTGGTGTCTCTTTCTTAACTAAGTTCATTGCCTTTCATGAATAGAATCCCATCAACTATGAAATGCTAACCTTTAATGTATCTCAAGATTTCATTACACTTAAAATACAATTTAAACACGAGTTAATGTAGTTCCACCTTCAGAACCAGTAAGAGCCTATATAGGAAGGGAAGGCAGAGGGTACAAGGTGGAACACAGGCTGTGTAGATGTATGTACACATATTTCCAACAAACCTTTTAGTCTCTGTATCTACCGTGTTATTATCTAACTGTTGTTGTGTGCCTTCAAGTTGTTTCCGACTTATAGTAACCCTATCATGGAGTTTTCTTGGCAAGATTTGTTCAGAGGAGGTTTG